TCCCCTGCCCCGCCGTTACCACGGTCGCCACCGTAGCCAGGAATAGCGGGGCCGCCCGGGACTGGGGGCCATTTATTTGCATCGTTGCTCATGGGGAGATCTCGAGAAATATCTATGTGTGTGTATGAGTGTGTGTGTGTGCGTGTGTACATCCCTGTATTGCAGTAGAGTACAGGGCATATATATATACATACATAACCACCCTCTTACCTATTTCTGCCACCAACTAGCAGTGCAATTCTATCTTCCGTATAATTATAGGCTGTGAGGAATTCCATCTTAGTCTTCAGAGGTGACACCCCATCACAACTCTTCCGTGTTTGAACTTAGATACAGGTGTGTATGGACTAACCGTAGCCATTTACCCTAAGATAGACTGTAAGTTCTTGTGTTCTTTCAATCTTATAAAAAAAAATCTCCCCTCATCACTTACACCACCAACACTGCAGTCGATTTTCCGTGCCATTTCGCCGCTCGCTTCTTGACTTCCTTCGTTAACTGCGCCAGCAAACTATTAAGTATCTACTAATTTTGAAAGCTGTTTTACATATTAAGTTTTAATACAATTTAAATATAAATATTGTATTTATATTTTAATTGTATTAAACTTACATTTCTTTTTAAGCACCATTATTGTAGTTTTACAGATCAATATGTATAATAATCCAATGTATTAAACTTAAGGCTTTCTATAACTAGGTATTTTCTAAACTGACATATTTACAATTCCTATCACGGATCAATAAGCTGAAGTTATATCTAATAATGAGTCGATCATATAGCTCGAAGAACCGACAACCTATGGGAGGGAACGAAGGGACCGACCTATTCGTGCTACAGCCATAATTTAGCTGTAACGTGGCTCTACCACGGATAAATCTGCCCAAGAATAATAACCAAAGTAAGTCTTTTTTATAATGGTTCGAATCCATGTCCAGCAGTGGATGTTTACAGGCTAATGAAAATGAGGAAACGAGTATAATACCGGCTAGGTTTAACTCGCTTATTTTACAGTATGGTACCTGTTTTTAAAAAGTATAATTTGAACTATATTCATTTTCTGAGTAAATTTTAAAGACAGCAAAGTAATTTCAAACGATGTAATAAAAAAAAATTGTATAGTACGCAACGCTTTTTTAACTTCAATACATGAGCGAAATGCGTTTTACAACTGATTTTTTAAATGTAACTAAATATATTGGTAAGATCTCTTTCTTTCCTTTGATACAATTAAGCCGGGGCATAAATCCTGGTTCAAAGAAAAGGTTGTTATATTCCCTCCCAGGAAAATTTTGCCCCATCTGCTAAGTGCATATTCTACACAATTATTATTTCCTGCTATTGAGTCCAAAGTTAAGGCAGCCGCAAAAGAAACTAGGTGTCCATGCAAAGATGAGACGGTACTTCACATCGGCCAGCGTTTTACCATATTTCAAACGCTTCTTCCTGCCTCGTTGCTCCAGTGGGGGTAAGCGCAACTGCTGATCATAAGGTCTCGGGTTCAAATTATGGGACGGATCAAATTCAATTATCGTGTTTAATGTCAAGGAATTCTTAGTGGCAGCTCGGACATACTCCCGTGCTTCGGTATTATACTTTATTTATAGGTTACTATACTTGCTCTCTATACACTTGAAGAAATAGTTAAGAAGGTGGTACCTAAAAAGACTAACTCTTTGGCAGAAATGAAGCCCGCCTTACCACCAGTAAAATATGTTTCTTCACGTGGATTTTTATTGATGTTTTTATTTACCCTTTTACCTTTGACTACATTCACATGAGGAAACTTTGAATACGGTCTTTATTAGCTTTTAAAAAAAATGATGTTTAAAATATTATATCATATGATATTACTTGGTTATGGACCTCAGTCCTGCCTAGAGTTCCACCTGGGTGGGTAGTTACCACCTTCTTAACTAGTTCCGTCGCTAAATAGCAGTGTTCATGTATGAAACGTTTTTAGAGCCAGCATAATTACAGGCTGTGACGCATTCCATCTTAGTTCTCAGAGGTGACAGTACATTTACCTTGGACTGCAGTAACCAAATATCAACAAGTTTACTGTATGTTCGTTAGTTACTTTATTTTCATAAAAAACACATGTTATATAAAAGATTTTTCTCGTTAAATCTAGTCAGTGTCCTAAAACTTTATTGGAATCTGACCTAAGGGCATTCCATTAGAAGTCAAACTCGAGCAATATCTATTCCACTTCAGGCAAATAGCGACACAAAGTTAAGCGCGATAGTTTGAAGAGCATATAGGCAAATGGATTAAAGAATGGACTGAAAATTTTAACATTGGATATGTTTTTTTTTTCATAACTTTATACAAAAAAACTTAATGATCACTTGATGTACTGTGGTTATTGTAGCTCATAAACACCTACAAATCCAATACAATTTAACTTCGAAGAAATAACATGGAATATGGGTTATTTTTAAAATAGTTACTTTTTGTACGTGGATGAACCATTCTTCATCTGTTATTATGGTTGTACCATGAACGGATCGGCTCGAACCGGAGATACTTTTTAATGGTAATAGGGCATTCTAACTCAGTCCTATGATGTCTATAGGCCACAGCACCCTCTTACCATCACGTGAAATGTGTGCTCGATTGTCACCCTTATTTCATAAAAAAATCTGACTGTAACTTTCATACATTAGACAAGGACAAACATACATACCTAGAACAATATTTATACATAGGTTATACAAAACCTTGTTGCTTTTAGGATTGGAACTTGCGCCACTCAACGCCTCAACTCAAGTCACTCTACCATGGAGTCGTCATCACATGAGCACTAGATATTGCATATGTAACTTCGAAACGCATATAAATGATTTGTATTGTGTAAAGTTTTCTCATATTGACATATTTGCTCTAAGCCCCGTACAGTTCACAAGCACGTACTCGCGTCTCGCAATGTACTGCGATTGTTTTCAACATTTAATGTTTCATGTTATTTCCAGTTTTACTCTCCTGTTACTTAATTATTAAAGATGACAACAAGCATACAGTTCACCTGACCATAATTGAATGATGTGGCTGTAGCGGTTTCTGATATTGTTTAATCATTAGGCTACTATCGCTTATTCACAATTATTGATAACAGTACATAATACAGTTGCGTGAGAGTCACTCTGTTTCCTTTAACGTGGATATTTGAAATGTAATTTTATTATATTTAAGTGACTAAATACACTATTTGTAAGTGACAAAACTATGCTGCAGCTATATTATGGTTATACCGCGAATAAGTCTGCTTGATCGGAAAAGGATCACGCTCTCACAAAATATCAGCGTGAAATAAATTCGATGCAGCTGTGTTACGTATGGAGTGTAATATAATAATGTCCTCAAGACCGAATTCCGGTCACGGTGGCCTGCCTCAGCGGAGACTAGCCATCGGCGCAGGACAAGATTATAGTGCCCAAGTGCATGCACAAGCACAGGCGAACTCGACAGTACAGTGAATACGACGGGACGGTAAACCAACACGAACGGAGAGAGATCAAGCGCAGGACCAACGGCTTTACGTGCTTTCCGAGGCACGAGGGTGAGCCACTGCCAACTTCCTGACTCCGGGAAGCTACTGAGAATTTCTTAATGGAAAAACTCGATATTTAATCCAATCTAAATCCAAAATAAATTACTTAGAAAATACGACAAAGAGAAACAATATTATAATACATGATTTCAAGGAATCAGAAGTTAAATATAATTAACTATTCAACAATATAAAAGAATTACTTGAAAAACTGGGTGTCAAAATCGACGAGTACGATATAAATAAGTTACGCAGAATCGGAAAACAAACAAATGGAAAGATTAGGCCTTTACTGATTACTCTAACAACAAATATAAAAAGATAGAGATTCTAAGAAATAAAAAGAAAACGCCCGAACCAACATACATTACTGAAAATTAGGAAAGCGTAAATCATTACAACATGAGATTCAACGAGAGAGGGAAAAGGAAAAAAATGTGTACATTAAGGGTAACAAAGTTGTAATTAAATCAACTGGAAATGAAAAAAGAAAAAGAGATACCTCAGTATCACTTGCACCACATAAACATAAACAACAGGTGAGGGATACAAATAATAAGAATACCCTTTTTAATTTTTAATTCTTTATTAATGAGCTTATTCACAATATGAATATGTCGCTCCGTTAATTCATCACCAAAAAAAACAATTACATTGGGTATACTTAAACTTATTTATAAAATTCTCGTCATTATAAAGTTCTCAAATCAATAATTAATTACAGGAAGTTGAAGAAGATATACATTTAGTTACAAAAAGTAAAATGAAAAATTGCCAGATCAATCACATTGAGAAGTGAGTGAGCGATCCGAGAACTTCACCTTGTAAAGTTTGACTAATATTTTTATATCGTCAGAATGTGGCTTAGCTAAAATTATATTACAATCAGCGAAATCTTTTAAAATGTGGTGGCATTTATCAATACGAAAGGCAGCGTGTTTTGTTGTTGGTTTTTTATTTTTTTAATTTTTTTTTAATTGTGGGCACAATCCATCAAGACATGTATTAGGTCCTCTGAAACACCGCATTGATCACAGTTCGGTGACTGGACCTTTTTCATAAGGAATGCATATTTTCTAGATGGAATGTGTCCAGTACGAAGCCTCATTATCACTACTGCATCCTGTCGCGATAGCTTATGGTTATCAATCCATGGTATTTTAGGTGGATGTGGCTGTACCGTCTTGTACCAAATACCCTTTTCTTTTGAACGTAAATCGAAATATTCTTTCCATAGCTGCACCGACTCCGCCTGAATCTTTAGAGCCGTCTGCAAATATTTTATAATAATTTTCATCGCACAACTCAATATTAACTTGACGGGATATGAAACTATATCAATAATCCAAATATGTGCACCAACAGAGGTAGCACCTAACGACGTAAAGGACTCGTTCTATGAGGACCTGGAGAAAACGCTTCAAATGCCCATAAAACAGTCTTTTTGATGGGAGATTTCAACAGGAAAATCGGTAAAAGACTACCAAATGAGGATGGTATAGTAGGTCAGTTTAGCACAGGAAAAAGAAACAACAACGGACAAAGACACGTGAACCTGGCACAGGTATATAGGCACTGTATATATATATATATATATATATATATATATATATATATATAATATATGGGTAGATATAACCTCAAAATCTTAAATACCTTCTTTAAGAAGGATATAAACAAAAACTGGACCTGGATATCTCCCGACGGCAATGTGAAGAATGAGATAGATTTTATACTCTCTAATAAAGTCCAATTTTTTAAAGATATAGATATGTGGCCGTGGAAGGAAAAGGGAAGATCTCCCGCCGGGCAAGGTGTTCTGCCCGGGGAGTGGCCAACACTCCGTGTGATAGTTCGGAGATGTTCTATATGTACTGTTTATGATTCGGAATTTTGATAGCGTGATTTAGGCTTCGGTGTGTTTCGTTTGCGGCGCGACGACAGCGCCGTCACATTACCCCCCTACTCAGACCGGAGGTCGATAGTGCAGCCTTGTTGCCGACGAATGTGCAAATGCCAGTGGATTGACTTGTAGTCTGCGGTGAGTCGAGAAGAAGGCAAGTAATCTGCCAGGGTGTCGTGAAGTAGAGGCGAGCAGTAAGGCTCAGAGCCGTGCCGAACACTGTATAGCACAGAGAGTAGCTTGAAGGAAGTAAGCATTATTATTCCAGTGCTGCTATGATCCTTGTGAAGACGGTATCTGCTCGGGAGCGAATGGGTGCGGTACTTTATGACGATGATGGGTACTTTATGACGATGATGAAGCTTGAAGTTAACGAAGGTAATTAGTTGCGTGTTCAGATCACGTTGGGTGGTCACCACTATGGCCATGGTAGGAAAAGGGGAGATCTCCCGCCGGGCATGGTGTTCTGCCCTGGGAGCGGCCAACACTCCATGTAATAGTTCGGAGATGTTCTATATGTACTGTTTATGTTTCGGAATTTTGATAGCGTGATTTAGGTTTCAGTGTGTTTCGCTTGCGACGCAACGACAGCGCCGTCACAGATACAATTAACAAATTCAACTTTAACACTAACCACAGAATGTTAAGGGGAACAATCTATCTCAAAAAACCCAAGAAAAGAAGACAATGCACCAAGAAAATAATCCAACCAATTAAATTCCTTTCTCCATCCCAGAAAACTTGTTGACCATGCTGAAGGATAAGACTTGTAACAAGATCAAAAACATAGAGGAAAAATAATCTAATGGAAGAAACAATACAAGAAATATCTACAAAACTGTACACCTCAAAGAACAAAAAAATAAAATCGGAAAGGCAGCAAGACGCCTTATAGAAGTCAGAAAAACTCTTTTAGAAAAAAAAATCAAAATAGAAATCAAATAATACAGTTAAGTAAACAAATAAGTGAAAAAATCAGGACACACAGGAATCATATAAAAAACAGGATTATTCAATACCACATTGAGAAATCGGGAGGAATAGAGAAAGCCCTAAAAAATCTGAAAGAGAATACATCATGGATCCCATGCATAAAAAATAAGACTTCTGGGAATACAGAAACAAAACGGCCTGAAATTATAGAAGTAGCGACAGAGTTTTATAGCAAACTATATGATGACGTAGACTACACAAACACGCAATACCTTCCGGAAGACAACGAAGAGACTATCCTTCCAATACTAGAAACCAAAGTAAGAAAAGCCATACTGTCTCAAGGAAACTATAAAGCTCCAGGAGACGATGGAATTACAAACGAAATTTTGAAAGCTTGTGTAGACTACATTATAGAGGCCATTACAAATCTGTTCAACAATATTCTAACTGAAGAAATAATACCACAACAATGGACATCATCAACTATCATATTGCTCCATAAAAAGGGCGACAAAGCAGAAATAAATAATTACAGACCGATCAGCCTCATCTCCAATCTATACAAGGTATTTGCTAAATAGAATCAGCTCAGTATTGGATGAAAATCAGCCAAGAGAACAAGCGGGATTCCGAAGTGATTTTTCAACAATGGATCATATTCATGTCGTAAAATAAGTAATTCAAAAAATCAATGAGTATGGAAAAAAATACTATCTGGCATTTGTGGACTATAATAAGGCACTCGACTCTTTGAGGCATATAAACATATGGGAAGCTCTGGGACAAGGAGTACACCCTATCAATCTAAATCAAAAATCCAGACAGTTATATATATATATATATATACAATTCCACAGAAAATCATTATTTAAGTTATTTATAATTTCGAAAACTAATTTTTTCATGACATGAAATTGATATAAAAATGAAAACATAACTAGGTATACAGCTAAAGTTTGTTTAACAAAATATTTATAATATTTGAAAGGACAATATTATATTTCAATCAGATAACATAATTTTAGGTTTCATTGACTATTATAAGAAAAACAAGGAATTCAAATTCAAATAGCCTTTATTTCTGATAATATACTACAATTTGGAGAATTATTATTATTGCAACATTTTAAAATTTATTGTACCAACTAAGTTATATTTTATAATAACAATTCAATATAATCTTCGACATGGGTAAGGTTATTATCAGATTGCCTATTGGCATAGGCCCCCCCCCCTAGAGTTTTCCATATTTCCTTGTTTGCATCGGCTCTCAGTCATCGGCTTTCAGTTATATGTAATGTATATATATATATATATATATATATATATATATATATATATATATATATATATATATATGTTATGTATATACGTTTTTGAATATGTAAAAGTATTATACTTTTACAAAATGAATTTAAAATTGAATGTAACAATCCATATTTAGAGGTACAAACTATTGGGAAAATTAAATTCATTTCATTTACGATATCATTTTAATGCATGGTTAAAACTAGGTACCATTATACAACGTAATCGAAAAAACGTTCCCATGAACATACTTAGAAATTAAAACAAAGGTATCACAAACCGCTTACGCAGCTTAGATTGTAAGTTGTATTTGATCCCTGTCGTTATGTTAATGATTCTGATTATGTTGCACTAGGAACGCCGTGTGACAAAACATGTAATATTAAACGACTATAATTTTTTGCCAACTAACGGTCACGCGCGTATAAGCAAATGATAAACAATAGAAAGAAAAGATTTTTTTTTGACCGGAGTTAGAGACTATATATACATAATTAGTAACATCCTACTAATTATGTAAAACGATGTGACAAGTGCTTGCGATATAAATACTTAAATAAATATATAAAAGAACCAATGATTATAACCGATACGGAATGTTCCGCTTTTGATTTAGTTTATTTAGATTTAGTAAGGCCCTGTAAGAAAAGTGTTAGTAATGTAAGTGTGAAATTTATCTATTTAAAAATAATGATACTATTTTAATTATATTGGCTTTTTTAACTTTAAGGTTTATTAAGGTTTAAATTTTAAAATATAGTTTAAGTTTAAGAAAATAATAATAATTTAAACAGCCGTATAAACGCCTTATAATATTTTTGATAACTATATTTTTTTGAAAAGTGTATTTTCATGTCTAGTTAATTAATAGTTATATACGAAAATTTTAAATGTTATGCAGTTATGTAGTATATATAAAAGTATTTTAAAACAAAAACTTAGAGAATCAATACAATTACGCAAGGAATTTGATGATTGTTTTATAAATTTAAATAAAGAGATAGAAAGTTAAATTTTAAGCTATTTTAAATAACAGTGTTTACGATATGTTATTTTTATATGATTATGTTATAAGTATGATACCTATAGTACAAGAAATATTTTATAATACTGTTCAAATTTCTTGATTTTTTGCATTAAGTTTTGTTTCATTGAAAAAAAATATTTTTGTAATTCTATTTTTTTTTGCCGATGGGCGTGTAGTGTGTGCTTATATATATTGTTACGAGCTTAGGGTTCGTGACAATAAACATTGCCGATTGAACTACCAAAATTAACACTTTAATTCACTTTACACTAATTAAACTTAAAACACTAATAATTAATCACACTGATTCACTTTATTGCGCTCCGAAGCTTCGCTCGTCTCGCCAAATTCAATATTTCCCCGATCGCACCTTGCAGAGCCTATAAAAACACATTAGCACCGAAACATCCAGAACATTCAAGTAAATACGCGCAAGGCGTCGAAAGTTCGAGTGTCGGCTTCTAGAGGCTTAGTTCTTCGTTTAGACACTAGATGGCGCTGTCGGTTGAAAGATTAGTGATGTCATTTTCTGGAAAGCTCCCCTCGCTCTCGTCCCCGACACTAGATGGCGCTAGTGCCGGGTACATGATGTCAACTTAGGCGCGCAACACTGCCTCCTCCTAAGACATGCTCGTCCCGAGCATTATCGGCCCCATAATAACGCGCCAAGCGATCCACATGGACGATCTTAGGAGTCCCTCTTGCGCCTTTCTGTAACGGCTCCACAATGTCAAGGGCTGTCCTATCCCATGGTGCACCAACATTGTACAATTTCGATGCTCCTCTTCTACGTGTCTGAGGTCCCATCACAGCCGCACAACTTGTACATGTACGATACCAATTCTCGACATCGTCACGATAATGGACCCAGTAAAACTGTTCTCGGACCTTCAGTAGAGTTCGTTTAACTCCCAGATGGACTCTCGAACGACCATTATGGCACAGCTATAGAATATTCGGTACTTTAGCTTTAGAGACAACCATTTGCAAACGACAGCTGTCTCCTCGACCATTGTCCCATTTACGGCACGGGACTCCATCCTAAATCAGCAAGCTGTCCCATTGGGCCCAGAAGCGTTTCAGTGGTCGAACTCATCGCTGAGACGTCCCTCCACTTAGGCTTGGTAGCACGGGCCTTCACCCATTCCAAAATCGGCTTGATGTCCGGATCTTCCTGCTGTGCATGTCGCAGGCTGTCTTTCCTCCCTAGCATCCTCACATACCACTTCCTACGCTCTTACCTAGTACAATGTTTGCAATCTTCAGGACAAGGTCTTCTTGACAATGCATCTGCGTTGCCATGAGATTTTCAGCTGCGATGTCTGATAGTAAAGTCGTATCCCGGCTGCTGCTGGGCGGTGATGTTAGCCGCACTTCTCTTCTGAGATCGTTCACCTTCCCTTTCTAGGGTTCGCTTAGGGCAGCTGGATCGAAGATGGCCCCTTTCCCCACAGCCATAGCAACTAGGGCTGTATCCTTTATTGTGATCGCGAACCGTAACTCCTGCAACCTCCCTAGCGTGAGGGGAACAACGATCCTGCCACCGCCAGGCGGTGCCGTTAGCTGCACTACCCTCTCGAGATCGATCAACTCCCCTTTCTACAGTTTGCTTAGGGCAGCTGGAGCGAAGATGGCCCCTTTCCCCACAGCCATAGCACCTAGGGCTGTATCCATTATTGCGGTCGCGAACTGTAGCTGCTGCAACCTCCCTAACGCGATGGGAACGAAGATCCTGCCGCACGGCTTCAACCTCCAGTGCATGGGCCAAGGCGTCCTTAAGCGTCACGTGGTGCCCGAGCCTCACAGCAGCTCTAACCTCAAGGTCGCGGATGCCGTTGATGAATGTCTGCACCAGGTTCCCTTCAATGAGCGCAGGTACAGACCGGTATGCTTTTCGCACCAGCTTCTCCACCTCTAGAGCCACTTGCTGCAGGTTTTAGTTGATGCGCTGCACGCGATCTTTAAGCTGCGCACGAAAGACGTGTTCCAGGTGAGCGTCACCATATCTCGCCTCCAACGCCTCAAGGAGCTGCTCATAAGTCACTTCCTCACCGAGAGCTTCCAGAACTGTTAAGGCCTGGTCGCGCGGGCCTAGTGTGAGAGCAGTCATGGCCTGACTTTTATTCCAGCCGTTCGCCTTCATAACAGCCTCGAACTGGATTTTGTAGGCTGACCAGGAAGAAGTCCCGTCGAACGGTGGCACTTTGAACCCACGTAGCGAAGGTGTAGTAGCTACTACGGGAGCTGTAGTTCCATCCCCAAGGTTGAGTTCGTCCAGTGATTTCTTCATGTTAGCCATTACGTTGTCAACCCGATCGTTCACTTGGTCGATTCGGATTTCAGCTTCCGACAGGCGGTTGTCATGTTTAGCAACCTTATCCTTTACCTCCCTTATCTCTTTCCCGAAGGTAGCGTGAATGTCCTTCATGAGGAGCATCTGCTCTTCCTTATCGCGCTTGAGCTGCTCTTCCAACCGACGGGCCTGTTCCTCCTGTTGGCGGGCCTGTTCCTCCTGTCAGCGAGCCTGTTCATCCCGTCGGCGAGCCTGTTACTCTTGCTGCTCTTTCAACCAACGGGCCTGCTCCTCCTGTCGGCGAGCCTGTTCCCCTGTCGGGAGCCTGTCCCCTCTCCCTCACAAGGTCTGCTCCTCCTGTCGGCGAGCCAGCTCCTGCAGCATCGCCATCTGCTCTGATTCCTTTCTTCTATAAATTACGTTTTTTATATTAAAAAAATTACGTCTTAGGATTTTGCTTTTACTTTTTAATTAAAGTATGATCTTTGACAGTTTTGAGTGGACTAAGTAATACAAATTGTGAGGGGCTGTAGTCATGATAATGATGATTATGACCTAAAACGTTTATAAATTTTTTTAGTTGATGAATTGTAGTAATAAATGTAGAAATTCAGTAATCCGTTAAGTACATCTCCATTGATTGTTTAGCGAGATAAAATTCTTAGCTCCTTTGTTGTTAAGATCTTGCCTGAGTTATAAGATACAATAAGATATTTATAAATTTTACATTTAAAGTGCTGGCATGCCTTTTATAAGACATTTTTATTCTTATAACGATTTAATTTATAAAGAAAAGTGTTTTACTCTTAAATGAATATCCATTAACCAATTATACCTGCTCTTGTTGAGTTTCAACAATGGTAATGTAATTTTTTCTTCAATCCATAAGACTTAGTATTTAGGGGTGACACCGCATCTGTATTAAGATTTTGATCGATGATGGATGCAGCTTT